GTGTGTAAGAGGTTTATTGAATATCACGAGAAACAGTCCGACAATAAAAAGGATATGGTCGTACAATTTAGTGTTTTACACGCGAACAATCCACATTGACTTTCATTCGGATTGCATTTGTCGCGCTTAAAACATTGTATTGTTACGGTCAATATAGCTTCATTGGTTGACGGTTTCTTATGAAATTAAATCTCGTAATGTTAAACACTATGGCAAATCACTACACGAAAATTCAATTGCATACATCTTGAATTTTTGGAGTTGTTGCCCCCCCCCCCCCCAAAAAAAACGAGTTTGGCGGTAGAGAATTTTCGAGACCACTATTTATGTTGCGCGCCCTCTACTGAAAGAATATTAAAGTGCGAGACCAGCCGATGCTGACTATTGAAAAAAATGAACAACTCGTTTTCCGATGGACAACTCAAGAAATACAAGATGTATTAAATTGAATTTTGAAAGACTGATTGTCCATGATGTGTGTAAGAGGTGTATTGAAAATCACGAGAAACAGTCCGACAATAAAAAGGATATGGTCGTAACAATTTAGTGTTTTACACGCGAACAATCCACATTGACTTTCATTCGGATTGCATTTGTCGCGCTTAAAACACTGTATTGTTACGGTCAATATAGCTTCATTGGTTGACGATTTCTTATGAAATTGAATCTCGTAATGTTAGACATGATGACAAATCACTACACGAAAATTCAGTTTAATACATCTTGTATTTCTGGAGTTGTTGCCCCCCCCCAAACGAGTTTGGCGGTAGAGAATTTTGGAGACCACTATTTATGTTGCACGCCCTCTACTGAAAGAATATTAAAGTGCGAGACCAGCCGATGCTGCACTATTGAACAAAAATGAACAACTCGTTTTCCGATGGACAACTCAAGAAATACAAGATGTATTAAATTGAATTTTGAAAGACTGATTTTCCATGATGTGTGTAAGAGGTGTATTGAATATAACGAGAAACAGTCTGACCATAAAAATGATATGGTCGTAACAATTTATTGTTTTACACGCGAACAATCCACATTGACTTTCATTCGGATTGCATTTGTCGCGTTTAAAAGACTGTATCGTTACGGTCAATATAGCTTCATTGGTTGACGGTTTCTCATGAAATTAAATCTCGCAATGTAAAACACAATGGCAAATCACTACACGAAAATTCAATTTAATACATCTTGTATTTCTGGAGTTGTTGCCCCTCCCCCCCCCCCCCCCCGCCAAAACGAGTTTGGCGGTAGAGAATTTTTGTTGCACGCCCTCTACTGAAAGAATATTAAAGTGCGAGACCAGCCGATGCTACACTATTGAACAAAAATGAACAACTCGTTTTCCGATTGACAACTCACGAAATACAAGATGTATTAAATTGAATTTTGAAAGACTGATTGTCCATGATGTGTGTAAGAGGTGTATTGAATATTACGAGAAACAGTCCGACAATAAAAAGGATATGGTCGTAACAATTTAGTGTTTTACACGCGAACAATCCACCTTGACTGTCATTCGGATTGCATTTGTCGCGCTTAGAACACTGTATTGTTACGGTCAATATAGCTTCATTGGTTGACGGTTTCTCATTACATTAAATCTCGTTATGTTAATCATAATGGCAAATCACTACACGAAAATTCAATTGAATACATCTTGTATTTTTGGAGTTGTGGCCCCCCAAAATGGAGTTTGGCGGTAGAGAATTTTGGAGACCACTATTTATGTTGCGCGCCCTCTACTGAAAGAATATTAAAGTGCGAGACCAGCCGATGCTGCACTATTGAACAAAAATGAACAACTCGTTTTCCGATGGACAACTCAAGAAATACAATATGTATTAAATTGAATTTTCTGTGACTGATTTTCCATGATGTGTGTAAGAGGTGTATTGAATGTCACGAGAAACAGTCCGACAATAAAAATGATATGGTCGTAACAATTTAGTGTTTTACACCCGAACAATCCACATTGACTTTCATTCGGATTGCATTTGTCGCGCTTAAAACACTGTATTGTTACGGTCAATATAGCTTCATTGGTTGACGGTTTCTTATGAAATTAAATCTCGTAATGTTAAACATGATGACAAATCTCTACACGAAAATTCAGTTGAAAACATCTTGTTTTTCTGGAGTTGTTGCCCTCAAACGAGTTTGGTGGTAGATAATTTTCGAGACCACTATTTATGTTTCGCGCCCTCTACTGAGAGAATATTAAAGTGCGAGACCAGCCGATGCTGCACTATTGAACAAAAATAAACAACTCGTTTTCCAATGAAGAACTCAAGAAGTACATGATGTATTAATCTGAATTTTGAAAGACTGATTTTCCATGATGTGTGTAAGAGGTGTATTGAATATCACGAGAAACAGTCCGACAATAAAAAGGATATGGTCGTAACAATTTAGTGTTTTACACACAAACAATCCACATTGACTTTCATTCGGATTGCATTTGTCGCGCTTAAAACACCGTATTGTTACGGTCAATATAGCTTCATTGGTTGACGATTTCTTATGAATTTGAATCTCGTAATGTTAGACATGATGACAAATCACTACACGAAAATTCAATTTAATACTTCTTGTATTACTGGAGTTGTTGCCCCCCCCTAAAAATCCAGTGCCTCTTACCGTTTTATTGATTGAACGTTCACAATCCTCACTGAGGCATGTGCATTAGTACCAGTGAGTCGGAGTTTTATAGTCCTAAATTCACAATGCAGCGCCCATAGAGCTATATTAAATTTAATATAGCTCTATGGCAACGCCCTAAGTGCTTTCTGCGCGACATCGCGTAGTACGCGCGACGCGCGCACGAATCTCCATAAAAGGAGTTGTCTACATCTTACTCGCCAGCTGGACACTCCATTATTTAGCTAGAGGGGTGTTTAAAAAAAACTTGAAGTGAACTTGTTGAACAAAATCTGTTTTTTTTTTACCGGAAAGGTATTCATGAATTGGAATAAACATGTGCTTGGTCGGTATTAATCAATCAGTTTGAGACCGCTTGGAGTCTGAATGCTGATAAGGCTCGCCTTCGGTTCGGGTAATTATCAGCACCCAGACACCGAGCGGTCTTAAGCAGAGTGATTAAAACCTCCCAAGCACACATAATGTACTCTTATTAAAGCTCAAACCTCAAAGATAGCTGCACTGCTAACAACTGTTGGAGCTGGATTCATATAGCTTGATTAACTCAAGCAAAAAAACAAAAAAAAAAGACATTTGGCCAACAAAAAAAAGTCTCCGGTTTCTGGTATGCGCGCGCGTCGCCGTAGCCATGCGTGTCGGCAAAATGAAAAAGTTTTTTTTTCAATGAAAGATGATGTCTCAAAACCGCCAAACTCACTGGTTTGACTGGAATTCTGCTGCTGCACAATTTTAACGTGTTTTTAGGTGGGGTTATGGTCGAGAATAAGCTTTATGTGGCCTCTCTGGACTCCAATCCCATATAGGCCTATTTGTACTAAGTTTAGTCGGGTACCATTTGCAGTCATCAGCCGACATTTGAAGCAAAAAAATCAGGTAAAAAAAAAAAAGCCGCGTCGCCGCACCACTTTTGGGGCAAGCAGAAACTGGAGACTTTTTTTTTGGCCTTTGATACAAACAAAACATTAAAAACTGATATTGTAATATGAATTTTGTAAAGGAACAATATGGAATTTTTTTTTAAAGGAACTTGACAGTTGGAAGAGGTAAATCGGTGGGAAGTTTTTTAGTAAAGCTTGACTGAAACACGATTGATTGAGGCAGTCAAGCATTGAAAATAAGCTGGTTGCATTTTAACATAGTTTGAAAGAGTTCCACCCAAAGGCAGAAGTAACAGTGATGCCTAAAAGTCCTCTTTGCAAGTTTTTGAAAGAGACAGTATTGGATTTGTTTACAGAATTCAAGCCGTTCTGTCTGCTCTTTCCGCTTAGAAAGTTTACATTTTTAAAGTACACGCTCCATCCAGCGACCAGCGACGTGACGAATAAAATATGCTGTTTTTGTTGCCAACATAATTACCCACTGTCCCTTGCGCGCGCATGCGCAGTGCCAAAAACGGGCAACCTGTTATTATGGTGATAAGGTCCATAGTGCCCGATCAGGCAGTATACTCTGGAAATTAGGCGCGCGCGATGTCTTGACGCGCGTCTAGTTCACGCTGACGCAAGTTAGTGAGTCACACGTGACTACGTTTCAGCCATCAAGGATAAAGAACAAGCAAGAGGTGTGTTATAAAACAAATTAGCTCAAGTTGTCTACTGACCCTCATTCAAACGGGCCATGTTTTGTCTTGTCTGGTTCCCAGACCAAAATATTCTGACAATTCCTGATGAATCTTAGGTCAGGTAGCCTCTGGTAATACATTAATGTATTACCGGAGGCTACCTGACCAAAGATTCATCAGGAATTGTAAGAATATTTTGGTTTGGGAACCAGACAAGACAATTGTATTACATTTTATGTCACGTGACTAAAACAGAAGGAATTCCTCCTTTTTCCGAAAATGTCCGAAGTTTGCCGAATTAATTTCGTCGACAATCGGATAGCGCCCGAGTATTTCCGAGTAAAATAGAGTTTTGATTAACTGCTTATTGCTTATTAATTTTTTTTTAAATGAGTTAATATTCATTAATTATTATTCATTGCTTTTATTTAGAAAACTTGAAATTCAACGACGATTTTGTGCATCAAATATTCGGATCGTATGGGCGAACTTCATGTTCTATTTTAAATTTGACGACCGTTACCGGGGGAAATTGTCAGGTTGGGGAACCAGACTATGTTTTGTCCACCGTAAATTTGAAAAATTGACTTCCATGACAAACTCTTGGTGGCGTGCTGCATTGTGATTCGCCCGAATTAAAAGGTCTGTGTTTTACAATAAAATCTGTGGCAATTGCAGGTCAGCTTCAGAAAACAACGCCTTTGGTCACCATACATCTGATACAAGAGCATTCTTTCACAGATGCAAAATTAGATACATAGATACATTGTAAACATCGTTAAAAATGGATTCTGCGATTTTTATTCAAACTGCCTTCGAAAGTTGTTTGAAGAGCTGACTCTGTATTGATACTTCCCTTTAAAAATAAACAATATTTTAAAATGACCGGTCTGGAATTAATTATCTCACTGAAAGTTGTTGTCGTCTTTCCATTGCAAGGGGCACTCAAAATATTTTGTGGCTACGTTTGATTGAGGAACTTGTGAAATATGAATTTTTGGACCAAACAATTTTATGAGTTATTAAAAAAAAAGGAAGATGCAAACCGGACTTGCTTTTAGAGCACAATCACACAGCGAAGGGTTCCAGTGTCGACTTTAAACAATAAGGAATTGCTTACAGGTATATGATGGTTGGAATTGTGTAGGTTGCTGAAGGGTTATATTTTGAAGATTTATTCTCAAGTGACGGAATTCCATTTTAAAACCGTACTCTTTGAAAAATAAAACCGTTATAAACCTCAATGTTTTTTTTCTTTTCTCTTTCTCATAAGCATCTGATTATACTTAAAGAGATTGATGCCTTTATCAATCTTGGTTACATCGTGAATACATATTTGTTTAGTACATTCCTGATCAATATTTGTTCAAACTTTAGTTCGTTTAGTTCTTTTCTCTCAAGTGACGGAATTCCATTTTTAAACTGTACTCTTTGTAAATTAAAACGTAATAAGCCTCATTTTTTTCTCTTTCTCATTAGCATATGATTATACTTAAAGAGATTGATGCCTATATCCATCTTGGCCGTGTTGTCTACTACATCGTGAATAAATATTTGTTAAGTACATTCCTTATCAATATTTGTTCAAACTTTAGTTCGTTTGGCATATTCAAAGGTCAAAGTAAGCCTAGGCCTTGTATTATGCACGACTTTCTCTCTGACGGTACTTTAAATTCCATCTTTAAAATTTAAGACTATTTACCCATGCAGACAATATACTCAAAACAGAACCCCATCTTTTTATAAAAGAGCTTTCATAGCAGGCTGAATGGTGCAATGACTCACAACGCAACTAAAAACGTTTATCCTACGTGATTAGACCTAAAATGAATTGATCATGAATCCGGAGAAACAGCAATAACGATTGCCTTGTTCGCAATAAATACCTCTGTTATTTCTATCGCCAAACTCAAGCCAGACTCTATCTCCAGTCGCCAAAACGACAATTGCCGAATTGCTGGACTGATGGTGATAGCCAGGCTGACCTTCATAGATTGCAAATGCAATTTCGTCATTCTTTTTCAGCTTTACATAGGGCCGATTCGAATTGGTCAAACTCAAAAAGCTAGCGGTAAAGAAGTAGGCGCCTGGAATGGAGCACGTGAACACGCCCGATTGCGAATCGTACCCATCGGCCAGATTCGTCTCGATGTTATCAAAGATGATAGTGTCGCTACCACTGCTCGATACACTTGACGTGCGATAAGCGCTGAATGCGACAGTAGATGGCGGTGTTGGTGTCACCAGGGTAGCGTCTCCTGGCTGGCCCTTTTGCCCCCTTTCACCAGACGGACCTTGGACTCCTTGCTCCCCCTGGTTACCTTTCTGCCCCTCACCGATATCTCCCTTGCGACCTGCAGGTCCCTGCTTCCCCGGAGGTCCCTGCATTCCAGGCTCGCCTTGATCGCCCTTCCGTCCCTTGCCACCGGTCTCTCCCTTGGGTCCAGTGAGGCCAAGTCCGGGGTCACCTTTGGGGCCAAGAGGTCCTTGAACCCCAAATCCGCCTGGATTTCCTGGGATCCCAGGGACACCCGGTGTTCCGGCCGGGCCTTGGAAGCAAGCTCCGCAGCAACCCGCAGAGCCTTTGGGTTCCTCTTGGGCAATACAATGGAAGCTTGAAAGCCACAGCAACACAATCATTGGAATCAATCCTGCTGGCATTCTCTGGTCCTGATAAGGGAGGAGAGAATTTGTAGAGAAATGATCTATTAACGATTTTAAAGGAAGAGCCGGAAAATTACCCCAGTAAAATTGGGAAGGTATGTCCCCTAGCCCCCGCCCCTACAATTTCAAGCACCGCAGCAACTTGATGAGGGTACAATCATCGCAAGAACGGACTGTTAAGGCTTGACTTGCAGTGTGTATTTTTGGAGCAAAAAATCTACTGAAATTGCAAACTGCCGCTAACTCTTAACTCTACCATGCTCTAAAATCAAAACGAGCAGGAATCCTGTCATCCAGCCATCCTGTCGATAAACTATCCGGTCAGATGGTCTGTCAACAAGTTTACCATCCGACTGGGATGTCGACCAAAGTGCTAGACAACTGACCAGTTGACAAACTGAACAGCAAAGTGGCCTGTCAGCAAGCTGACCAGCCAATTCACAGGCTTGTTGGCCAATTCACAAGCCAATTGGGCTGTTGACTAGCCTGACAGCTGACTTCTTTATCGACCACAATGCAAGCAGACAGATCTGTTGATCACTTTGCAGGCTAACTGGCTTCTCGATTTATCAGCTTGCTTGAAGGTGGACCTGCTGTGCTTCAGGTTACCCAGTTCAAATTCCATTCATATTTTGACCGATTGCGTTTGGTAGTTAGTTCATACCTATGATTTGATTTTTTTTCTGACAATAGTTGGGGTTTTCCTTCAACTACTTTGATTCCACATGTCCGTCAATTTCTGATCTGGAACGGCTTCAAGTTATAGTGTGGAAGACTAATTTGTATCACAAACAATTTCGTTCTTGTCTTATCGCCTGAAAAAAGGCCTAACAGTAAAACAAAAAACAATAGACACGATAAAAGTAAATTTGTTATGAATGTTAGGTTTCCCAGAACCAAGAATTATGAACAAAAACGTACCTTTGATGCCATTATTGTATGCAGGATGCAGTATTCTTCGTCTCAGTGCGGCAGCACAGATTTGAATCTGAAAGTGCGAGTGAAATTTGATATACAACATTGGACCAACGCCTTACTGTTTAAACTGCTACATTTAGATCTGGGTCCTGAAAGAAACAAGGGAATCGACACACCTGGTTCCTCATGAAGCGCAGTCTGCAAACAATTAAACGACACATCTACACTGACGACTACCTGCCATAGTGTGTGCATTACACCGATTACTCACCCTTTCCTTGTATAACCATTTATTCCCTTCCTTTAACTATCGATTTGCAATAGTTTTTATAAATGGTGGTTCCGGCTAAAAACTCAAAATTATTAATGATTAAATGAAATATCAGACAGAGAGGATAAAACCAACAGACGCAATCAATCTTCTGGTTTGTTCAAGTATTTATTATTAACAATTAATCTATGTACAATTATTTACAATAACATTTACAAGGACCCAGATTAAACTATAAATTCCAATTACTTCCTTCTCAAATATTGAGAGGAGGGTAGATGAGGGTAGAGCCGTCTGCCGACGGCTCTACTCTCATCAAGGACCGCCAAGGTATTCTCACCCATTGGGCTGAGCACCTTAGCGAGCTCCTCAACCGAATCAACCCCGTCGACTCTAGTGTGATTGACCTTCTCTCCTCTCTGCCACCCATCCCTCAGCTGGACAACCCCCCGACCTTTGCCAAGATCCAGCTGGCTGTCAAGAGCCTTAAGAACAACAAGGTGGCTGGACTTGATGGGATCCGAGATCTACAAGTACGGCGGAAACCTGCTCCTTCAACGTCTGCACTGCTTCATCTGCGACGTCTGGGCGGCTGAGTCCCTTCACAGATGTACAAGAGGAAGGGGACAAGTCCAACTGTGGGAACTACCGCGGCATCTCTCTCCTGGCCGTCGCTGGGAAGATTCTGGCCCGGGTTATGCTCTCCCGTCTCCTTTCCTCTGTCTCCAACGTTGTCCTCCCTGAATCACAGAGTGGCTTCCTTAAGGCCAGGCACACCACGTATATGTTATTTGTGGCTCGTTAGCTGCAAGAGAAATGCAGAGAGCAACACCGCAAATTCTATGCCACCTTCGTTGACCTTACCAAGGCATTGGACACCATCAACAGGAGCCTTCACTGGACTATCCTCACCAAGTGTGGCTGTCCCCCAAGGTTTGTCAGGATCCTTTAGGAGTTCCACACAGGGATGTTTGCCCGCGTGGTGGTCGGGGGCCTGGAGTCGGAGCACTTTGAGGTCAAAGCTGGAGTGAAGCAGGGCTGTGTCCTTGCGCCGGCCCTCTTCAACACATACCTAGTGGCAGTGACTCTTCTTTCCCGACACCAGGTCCATATGGATGACGGCATAACCTTCCGGTATCGGCTCGATGGCAGCCTCTTCAATCTGCAACGACTGCTAGCCAAGACTAAGACCAGGACTAAGGCTATCTTCGATCTGCAGTATGCTGATGACGCCGCCTTTGTCAGCCATTCGGCAGCGGGCCTCCAAAGGATCCTCAACACCATGGCTGACACCTACACCAGCGCCGGACTCGTCATCAACGCCAGGAAGACAGAAGTGCTCCACCAGCGTGTGTCCTACGAAGGCCAGCCTTCTGATATGCCCTTTCATGTCGGGACGGAGGACATCAGTCAAGTCCACAGCTTCGTCTACTTGGCCAGCATCCTGAGTACGTCCTGCAACGTCGATGAGGAGGTCCAAATTGGGATACGGAAAGCCTCCAGCGCCTTTGGCCGGCTGTCACACCGTGTGTTTTTCAACCGGGACATCTACATCTCCACCAAATCGTCGTCTATAAGGCCATCTGTATCTCCACCCTGCTGTATGGCTCTGAGGCCTGGACCAATTACAGATCCCATATTAGAAGCCTTGAGGCTTTCCACATCCGTTGTCTTCCCCGTATCCTCCGGCTTACCTGGGCGGACCGGGTTCTGCATGTCACCATCCTCCAAACAGCCAGCTGTCTCAATGTCGAGGCCCTCATTATCCAACGGCAACTCCACTGGGTCGGACACGTCTAACGGATGTCTGAGAACCGACTTCCTCGCACGCTGCTCTACGGTAAGCTCTCCCACTGGACACCGAACCATTGGAGGACAGATGGAGCAGTGTAAGGACCATCTTAAGGTGATGTTGAAAAGCGCGGGGTCCCATCCTTCAACCTGGAGCAGCTCGCCTCAGATCGGAACACATGGCGGTCTACATGCCATGAGTCAGTGGATCTGTTGGAGGCTGCACGCATCCGCGAAAGAGAAGATCGACGCCGCCAACGACATGTGCGACAGAACCAGGGGCCTCCTACGGGTGACGGCATCCCCTGCCTGACTTGTGGGGGGCGCCTCCGAGTTTGTGCTCCATAGCAACAAGAGAAGTCATCAGAGGCACCCGTTCCATCGCCAGTATTGTTTCTTTTTATTAATTTTCCTTTCTGCATTGGGGAGACGTCGTCATCGTATCGATGGACACCCATAACCAACTATAGTCCAGCGGATATGTGAAAAAAATTGTGCACTTTTGCATGAAAGAGTGAAACTTGGCACAGATGTTTATATTCATGCGAGAAAATGTTTTAGATGTGGAGCCATCGCAAATTTACCCGTTTAGGGGCGTGGCATCCATTTAAAAAAGGGGGCGGGACTTGTCGTGCCCGCAGTGAAAACGGTTTTTCCCACTTGTTACAAAAGCAGGAACCTTCACAAAGACATAATTAGATAGATTTGTAGTGTTTTCCAGATTCAGAGCCACCACAAAAGTACCTTTTTGGGGGCGTGGCAGCCATTAAAAGAAAAGGTTTTTTTTTTATTATTATGCCCACTTTGGAAAACATTGTGCCCATATTTCATGAACGAATAAAACGTCCCACAGACGTATATATTCATGAGAAAAAATTCCAGATGTCGAGCCATCTCGAACACACCTTTTTAGGGGCGTGGCAACCATATAAGAAAAAAAGGGGGGCGGGGTTTTCAATATGCCCACCCTGGAAATATTGTTCCCACATTCATAGAGAAAAGGAACTTTCCACAGACATTGACATTCATGAGAAAAACAATTTCAGATGTGGAGCCATCGCGAACACACCTTTTAGGGGCGTGGCAGCCATATTGAAAAACAGGGGGCGGGGTTCTCATTATGCCCAACGTGGAAAAAATGTGCCCACATCTCATAAACGAATGAAGCTAATTTCCACAGACATTAATACTCACGAGAAAAAAATTACACGTGAAGCCATCGTAAACACACCCTTTTAGGGGCGTGACAGCCATAATACAATGGGGGGGGGGTAGTCATGATGCCCCTATAAAAGAAAGTTGTGCTTACCTTTCATAAATGGATTAAATTCTACTCGGACAAAATATTCATAAAAATCTTCTTCTTTTTTTTAATGTGAAGCCATCACAAACCTACCCTTTTAGAGGCGCGAAATCCATTTTTAAAATGGGGGGGGGGTACTCAATATGCACACCGTGGAAAATTTTGACCGCGTTTCATATAATAAAATCCACCTCAGATAGATCTTGAATGTGTTGGAGTAGGGCCGCCCTTATAGTTGAAAGTTACTGTTGGCAAGCCCTTTGTTTTCTTACACTATGCATTCTTGCCTCATCTATATTAACCCAGTTACTGGTTCTGTTGTCTGTAGAATTATTGTTAACCTTTCAACTGCAGCGATTTCCTAATTGGGGTATAAGCTGGGGTACCTCATTTAGTCTTGGAAAGACTAGTGTTACTTCTTCAAATACATTGTTTCCCCTGCCTTTTTTTCTGACAGACCAAAAGGCATATGCAGTGTCGCACCTGTATAAAGTATAACATTTTTTAATGGATTTGGTCGGGGTAAAACAAAACCACTCATCAGAGCTTGATATACCATTTTTAAGAGAACAGAGGGGTTGTGTGGTGGGGGTACACAGATTCATTGAATGTGAAGTCATAGTGGACGTGTCCACCACTTTTTGAGGCGAGTACATCGTGTTGTTACCCAATCTGCTGTCAATGCGGCGCAACGGGTAGTGGGTAGGGGGTTTTACACCCGCCCCCCCGTAAAAAAGGATTTCCATGGCCCTTAAATGTTAAATGTTACAGTTTAGGGCTGCCATTGTGTGCTGTGTATTTGTAATTATGAAATCACTCTGGAATTTAGATGTGCATGATAATATAGGTGCAAGTACACACATTGAACCCTATAACTGGGGTTAGCCTACCGGTACTTACCCATGCTCTTTTGTGTAAGTCATTGTATTACCAAATAATATAGGTTATGGGCCAATCAACATTATGAGAAATCAACAACAAAATATAAAAATTGCAATTGTGGGCACAGTGCCAGGGCGGATCCAGAACACAATTTTTTTGGGGGGGGGGCCCAAAAAAATTTGGTCCCCCCAAAAAGTGGGTCCAAAAAATTACGGCGTGGGGTTCGGGGCCCGCTTAAGGGCCCCGAAATTTTTTTGGATTCTAGATGCTCTGTGGTGCGATCTGAGGCAATTTCTGACCACTTTAACCAATGTTTTTTTGAGGAAAAGATGGTGATGTACTCATTGCCTGCCTTTATTGCTATGTCACATAAAACAAAAACAATTGGTTTTTTTTGGGGGGGGGGGGGTAGGGGCATGGCCCCCTTTGGCCCCTCCCCCCTGGATCCGCCCTTGGCACAGTGAGTAGGCCCCTCACACCTCTAAAAGGATGAGTTTGCTGTGGCTCCACATATGAATTTATTTTCTTGCACCTAGTTTGTGTGATGTTTACTCATTTATGAAAGTTCGATGGTGGGCAAATGATTAGTAGCACCCCCCATTTTTTTTTTTAAATAGATGCCATGCATCTTAAAGGATAAGTTTGTGAAGGCTTCAAATAAAAAGAAAAAGAAAAGATTTTCATGAATATATTGTCCGTGTGGAGTTTAATCCATTAATGAAAGGTAGGCATGACTTTCTTTTATAGGGGCATCATGACTACCCCCCC